CATTGGGCATGCCAAATTGTTGTGAGTGTCTACAGGGTGATATTTTTTCGAGGGTCATGCCCTCTTTTCTTCTCTTGAACTTTTGTACGGTGCGTCGCTGGTAGATTCTAAAATAAAACCGAATTTTCTGTTTTGTTGAGATCCTTTTATTCCTTTTTGATCCCTTATGTTTTTTTCGAATCTGCGACCGTTATCGAGAAAAAATAAACAACGATTTTGTGTAATTCGTTAGATGAAATGGAAATTCTTAAAATGGTCCAGTAGGCTCTGGCTTTATTTGGTTAAAAAAAAACTTAAAAATTCTTGAAATTACAAAACCCTGTATCGGTAACGAAGCTTTTGCGGACCTATATTTATATGAATCTTTAGTCATGAAATAAGCCAAAGAATTACCCAATTCTTTATTTCGAATTTCACAATTTTACAATAAAATTATATCTTTCTGGTTAATTGCAATGTTACCTACTACATTAGTCTTTGCTTATATAGAAGATGTAACATTTCAAGAGTTTTCGCACTGAATAAATACCTTAAATTAAACATACAGAAACGTTTATTTTCTACTTGTCGGATGATGAGTATATTAGATAATTTCAAAGTAGTTCAATTTACTTAAGTCTGCATAAATTTCATTAAACGGTTCTGTGAAAATGGGTTAATCGTCCGTTGAGGCTGAAAATTTAATGGAGAGTTTGTCGATACTCCTTAAACGAAGAGATACTAGAATATTGATACAGCATTAGCCATCTAGTTTACTAGATTATAGATTCGCGAAGCGGGCTGTTTTTAAATTCTATTTTTATCGACTACTTACTTAATTATATGGAATTTACTTCGATCGTCCTTTACTGTTAAAACGTTTAAAATGCAGTTTGCTTTGTTCAAAATATCTGAAATATGTGTTTTTCATTTTCGTATATCGTTGTAAAGAACAAGTCACACTGAAAAATTTAATTTGAAAAGGCATATTGTAATTTTGCCCAAAATGTCGTGCAAATATCAAACTATATTTAGGTGCGATATACATGGTGTAAATAAATAAGTGAGAAAAAATTCAGGGGGTTCCCTGTCGAAAAATAAGGTGGGTGTTCCAATAAAAAATATCCCCTGTGAAGATATAACAGTTTGAATAGGGTGCCAAAAAAGTAGTTTTAATTTTTTTCTGAAATACCAAAACAGTGACAGAAATGAAATTAAATAGACGTTTTCTGGTATCGAGAAGGTACTAGTAAACAATTTGTTGATTTTCCCCTTGTAAGGGATAGAAAAAGTTACCCCTATGACTTGTTTCATACGTAACATTTTTCTTATTACTACCTTACCATTTAAAAATTTATTTCAGATAGCTTGTTTCATTATAAACAAAAATTGTCTTTTTTTGTAAAATTAACGCTTTCTGAGTAAAAAAAAATATTTAAAATCAATTACAGGACATGACTGGCATAGAATAGAAATTTTATCGAACTGTAATAATTTATCTAGTGGCGGTTGTCACGTTGATATTTTGTAATAGCAACTTAATTGTTATAATTCAATAATTGTATTAAATATGTGAAAAAACAAACTATTATAAATTATTAAAAATTAATAGAAATTAGAAATAGAATATTAAATGTTGAATGTTAAAGGAAGTAATGATAAACGAAAAAAATATCTAGAGTAACTGTTGACTTTTTAAAAATTGGTGAAAATTTATGCGCTCATTGCTCTTTAGTTGCGCAGACACCGAAAAAATATGAAAATTCACACAATAACAGAATAATACCTAAAATGGAGTCAGACACAATAATTTAAAAAATCTATTTTTCTCAGTGTATAAAAACTATATCAAACGATCTTTTAATTGAAACCTAGGCTTTGAGCTAAAAAATCACACTTGAATACAAGGTGTTCCACCTAAGAGGGATTCTTTTGTAACTGTGCAATTGACTGTGTTAGAAACCTGCAGTTTTAATAATCTTACGAGCTGATAAACTTTTTTTTTCAAATGGAATGACTCATATTAATTGTCATGGGTGAATGCAAAATTGAATGCCCTTTCAACTGATAGCAAGTTGTCCATATTTATCTTTCCAGAAAATTAAGTTTTTTTTCTAAAGTCCGACATAGTGGCTATGTAACAGCGTCAAGAAGGCACTTTTCTCTCACATTTTATCAGGTCTGGCACTGACAGTGTCAATATTTACTGGCATGATTAAAAAGTGGTTTGACAAACAAAAGTAAACCACTAACAACAAATAAACCAAAACGCAAAACGAAACAAACTGAAACTCGGAACACAACAAGGAGAAGAAAACTTAGACTGCTGATTTACATCAATTGCTCGAATTGTCCTTCATTTTGATTAATACACAAACGAATTCGGTTTTTAAAAGACTGTATTGTGAGGTGGAGCACCACCATGTTGCATTTACGTTCTTCGAAGTGTAGTTAAAGGAATGTCGCCTAACAAATCTTCTAGAGTGTTTGTTAAATAGTTTAAATAAACTGCTCCAGTTAGATGCTGGTCAAAAAAGAATGGTCCAATGACATGGGTTCCCAAAATTGCTCCCCACATGCTTTTGAGTTGTCCGGAATTAGTGAGGATTTACTGTGTCATAATAATGGCAATTATGACTATTAACGAAACCATTTTTATGAAACGTAGCCTCATCGCAGAACATGACCTGTTTAAAAAAATCATCATCTTGACTTAACATCCCAAGTGCTCACTGACAAAGCTCCAGTCTCCGCTGAAAGTCTACTTTTAGTAACTCTTAATGTAATTGGATGCGATAAGGGTGTTCTGTGCTGTGTTTTTGTAAAATCCTATGTATCGAGGTTGTATCGTACTAATACAATTGCCAGGCTTTCTTGATGTTGTTACATAGCTACTTTTTCGGAATTTAGAAAAGAACCTGGTTTTTCTGGAAAACTGTTAGAGATAAGTATGGACAACCTTATATCAGTCGAGAAGGTATTCACCTATGACAATTACTATGGGTCACTCTATTTGAAAAAAAAAGTTACGTCGTAAGATTATTAAATGTAGGTCTCAGTATTTTCGAGTCTAAATAACGTACTCGTTTTGCTCACAGATGACAAGACAGAGTAATTTATGCCAAAACGAACTGTGAAAACTGCAGGTTTCTAACTCTTACAGTTTAGACGCTATCTAGCCTCATTTAGAGAGCTGAAATCGTGATTTTTTTAAAAAAACAATTGATTATCTCGAAAACGGTAAGTTTTAAACACCATATACATTTAATAACCTAATATTAACCAAGGAATTAAAAAGCGCAGTAATATACAGGGTGTTCCATTTAAAATAACAAAGTTATGTAAGGCCCACGCGAAATGGAACACCCTGTAAAGCTAAAAATATTTTCTTTACATGGCCCACCTGATTCCAGGCAACTTTTATTAAAACCATTTTTTTAATAAATACAGTTAAAGAGTTACTGAAGAATCCCTCTTATGTGGAACACCCTGTATATACAAAAAAAGGTATTATGTACAACTACTTACCGGTATATCGACCTAGCATGACAAAATTTCATTAAAGGAGAGTGGTAAATAATTATTTATAAATATAGTGTTAAAATTAAGTGCCTGAAACTGTCAAAGTTGAAAGCCACTCTCTAGCGCTAGGTATTAATTATAATTACTCCTCATTGCTTAATCGATACGGTACTATATATCGCCTTAATTTGTCTCCTTTACTTTAATAACCTTTATTAAGTTATTTATCAAAGATTAAGCGAGACGGCAAGGTTCGGGAAACAGTCGCGGAACACAAAGGAGGGAATGGAGGATAACTATTATTTTATTAAGCGTACACGAACTAATATTTCATCATGTCGACGTACAGGAACAACGTAATACCAAGTACCCAACTGGTATATACAGAGTAGTCCCGGAAACTTGACCAGGGGAGAGAACAAGTAATTTTTTGCAAAAAGTTTCATACAAGTTTCATACAGGAAGTAACATATGAGGTTGTTTGATTGAACGTACACCAGTGGTTTGTCTAATTATAGTCTGTTTGGAAATGAAAGAGAGTAATAAAACCCCGAGATAAGAACCGGCCATGGGCGTGCTAATATTTCGTTTCAGGTAATTATCGGGTAACACTAATGCTAACAGGTAATGGGTGTACATTAGTATATTTTACTGGATACATCATAGGGCAGGAGCCAGTGTATTGTGACAGATCAATCCAGTCTTAGAGCTGAATATACGAAGACGTGCTAGTGCAGTAGAGTAAAATTCGACTTGTGTTTAGTGACTATTGTGCCAGTGGATATAATATTGTTTGGGTAAAATGTCGAGCTTATCAGATTACGTACCTGCTAAACGCGTGAAAAGATGTGCGCTGTCTCAGAATGAGAAGATTATTATATTAAATGTATTTAATG